CCTTCAAAAGTCACTGCATGGTCCAGCTAAGAATTTGGTTGCATCATTACTCATATATCCAAACAATGTCGAAACAATTATGCAAACATTAAATAACCACTACGGACGACCCGATGTGCTAATACGAAGTCAGCTCGATAAAGTTAACAAAATGAGTGATATTATCGACTTCAGTGTCATGACAGCCAATTTAACATCGTTTCTAGAGAACTGTAACGCTAATTAGTCACAAAGCTGCCGATGAACAAAAAGGGAGAGTGGGCCAAATATATCATGGAAAGAGGAATTGTATATCCGTCAGTAAAACAATTCGCAGAATGGCTTCAAAACATTGCAAGCTATGTATCAATAGCAATGGGCAGTACATCGACGATGACGACCGATAAAACACAGGAAAAGAAAAATCAACCTAAGCACATTTTCACCGTTGACAATAAACAGGAGCGTTCCCGTAAATGCCCAATTTGTAATCACGACCACAAGCTCTATCAATGCGACAATTTCAAGAAGAAGACCTTACCAGAAAAATGGGAAATCGTTAAGAAACAACGACTTTGTTTTGGGTGTCTACACTGGGGCACTCTATGCAAACTTGTTCATTCCGTAGAGAATGCAAAATTGATTCATGTCAAAGATATCACAATCGTCTTCTTCACGATTCAAAGTACCAATCCGCTAAGATTGAGAATATTTCAGATGAAACAAAGACTGACATAGTTTTTACAACAATAATGGATAATGAACCACCGAACACGACCCTTTTTAAATTCGTGCCCATAATTGTTACAGTTCCAAAATCACAATGCACAATAATTGCCTTTATCGACGAGGGTTCAACCATATCTCTTATCGAAGAGGAAACAGCCGAATTGCTGGGTCTCAAAGGATCGAAAAGCCATATGACATTAAAGTGGATAGGTAACAAATCGACAACAGAAATGTCTCAGCAAACAAACCTGGAATTACAAGGATACCCTTCGGGATCTCTATCTTCTTGCCTTATGAAAAATGTAAGAACAGTCAAAAGGTTAATGTTACCATGCCAAGATCTGAATTTGCCAAAATTTTGTATATATTTTCCATGCCTAAAAGATCTGCCTATTGAAAATTATAATAATGCTGCGCCGAAACTATTAATAGGAATGCCACATATCAATCTAGTCAGACCTTTGGAAATAATTAATCTAAATGAAAACTTCTCAGCTCATAGAACTAAATTAGGATGGATATTGTTCGGGTCGAACGAAAACAGACACAGCGGTGTAGTATGCCATGAAGAAGAATGTAAAAATTCAATGGACGACATTCAAAACATAATACATAACTTCATAAACATTGACCAGTTTGGGGTTAGACTATCATTACCGCTTAAATCAGATGGCGACCAAAGATGTGAAAAGATTTTGAAGGAGACGACAAACAAAATCGAAAGTGGCTATGAGACTGGGCTTTTATGGAAAATCAATATTATTAAAATGCCAGATAGTTACGACACGGCGCTACGTCGACTAAAAATAGCGGAAAGTAAAATGTCCAAGGATGAGTCTCTTCGTAAATGGTATTCAGAAAAAATTAAAGAATATGAAAGAAAAGGATATGCGCGTAAATTAAGCAAGGAAGAACTTAAAACGGATTTAGGCAAAAAATGGTATTTGCCGCATTTCGCCGTAAATAATTTAAATAAAAACAAACTCAGACTAGTATTCGACGCCGCAGCTCAAATTAATGGAGTATCACTGAACTCATGCCTTTCAAAAGGACAAGATGCCTATCAGCCAATCCCGTTGCCGTCTATACTGTTCAAGTTTCAATTTGTGCGGACATTAAAGAAATGTTTCACCGTGTATTCATCCGAAAGGAAGACCAGGATTATCAACAGTTTCTATGGAGAGATTGCGATACCTCGAGAAAACCAGACGTCTACGTGATGAATGTGATGATATTTGGTTCAGCCAGTTCGCCCTGTTCAGCCCAATATGTAAAAAATCTTAATGCCGACAATCCCAGAGCAGTAAAAGCGATTGTTGATCATCATTACGTCGATGATTATGTAGACAGCTTTGACACAATAGATGAAGCACGTAACATAATTAACAAGGTTGTACAAATTCATCTGAACGGGAATTTTGAACTTCGCGGATTCGTGTCAAACTCAAAGGAGCTTTTGGCAAGGACGAACAACTCAACAGAGATCATGACATCGCCAACAAAATTAAGTCACTCTGAGCTGAACACTGAAGAAATACTTGGACTTTATTGGGATCATGGATCAGACCAGTTCTGTTTCATCGTAAAGTTTAAAGGAGTGCCGAACAACGTAGCTGAAGCAAAATCACCTCCAACAAAGGTGTCCATGATAATGTCCATATTTGACCCCTTTGGATTTATAGCACCCTTTGTAATAAAAGCTAAAATCTTAATTCAAGAATTATGGCGCCTAAATACAATGTGGGATGAGGTTATTCCCGAGAGCCTTTACAACGTGTGGATTACTTGGTACGACCAATTGCAGAAGGTAAAAGACGTAAGGATTCACAGATGCTATCATAATAATTTCACCAAACCTGATCCCGACTTGCAACTTCATATTTTCGTAGACGCAAGCGAAGAAGCCTTTGCCGCCGTCGCTTACTGGAGAGTAATGTATCAAGAACAAATAGCAATAGTGTTTGTGATGGGTAAGGCTAACTGTTGTCCTATAAAAACAGTATCAATACCACGCCTCGAACTACAAGCTGCAGTCCTCGGAATTCGACTTAAAAACGCCATAATAAATAACCATGAAGTCAGCCCAAAACATGTTTACCTGTGGTCGGATTCAAAGACTGTAATAAGCTGGATACAATCAGATAGCCGCCGTTATAAGCAATATGTCGCCCACTGAGTAACAGAAATTTTGGAAAGCTTAAAAATCGACCAATGGAAATGGATTCCTGGAACAAAAAATCCCGCAGACGCTGCCACACGCATGTCCTCAAAAGCAGATCCAAGCGTTTGGATTGATGGACCTCCATTTTTATATCTCGACAGCTCCGAGTGGCCATCACCACCTGATGATATAAAATCTCACGACCATGACAAAGAAAAATTTGTATTTGTTGCTACTCAGGACATGACAATCGATATGATAGACAAATACAGTAAATACGAGAAACTATTGCGAGTCTATCGAGCTGTTCAAAAATAAATCCTTAAAAAAGTCTACAGTACTAACAGCTGAAGAAATTTGTAGTTCTGAAAAACTATTATGCAAATCAGTCCATCTCGCTTGTTTCCACCAAGAAGTAACTCAGTTAAAGAATGGTCAACCCATAACGAATTCCAATCCCATATGGAACCTTTCGCCCGAGCTGGATGACGACGGTGTTCTTCGCTTAGCAGGTCGCATTGATAAAGCTACTTGCGTTGGTCCTATGACAAAACGTCCTATTATATTACCCAAAACCCATAAACTGACTTTACTGATCGCCCAGCATCACCATGAACTGTGTAAACACCAAAATGTGGATACCATGATCTGTTCCATTAGACAAACATTTTGGATACCATCTATTCGCCGTTTAGCTAAAACCATTAAGACCAACTGTCAGTTATGCAAAAACTTATCCGCAATGCCAAAGCCACCCTTGATGGGACAGTTGCCTATGGACAGAGTTGCAGCCTTTATCAGACCCTTTACGTATACAGGGTTGGATTATCTTGGTCCCCTTTTGGTGGCTATTGGCAGACGACGTGAAAAAAGGTGGGTAGCGTTATTCACCTGTATGACTACAAGAGCTATACACCTCGAATTGTCTAAGGATTTGTCATCGGATGCCGCCATTATGTGTCTCAAAAACTTTTGTTGCCGAAGAGGAGTACCAAAAAGAATTAGAAGTGATCAAGGAACGAACTTTGTCGGTGTCGGCAAAGAGCAATGGATTACGGTGGTGGATGCGATTGCAATGGAGAGTGGTCGCTGTGGTATTGAGGCAATCCGGCTGCTGGTGGAGCATGGGAGCGTTTGGTGCGCAGTGTGAAACTTATTTTGGCATTAACCCTCAAAGAAAAGGTACCTCAGGTTGAAACTCTTCAAGGTCTGTTAAATGAAGCTGAAAACCTTATTAATTCCCGTCCTTTAACACACCTACCGATCGATTCATACGAAGACGATCCGCTTAGTCCAAATCATTTTTTACTTGGTTGCCCAAACCATGTACAAACACCAGTAGTTGACGAAAACGTTTGCCTGAAGAAGCAATGGCATATCCGGCAGCAGTTAATGCAGACCTTCTGGAAACGATGGATCCAGGAGTACTTGCCGACTCTAACCCGACGCACTAAGTGGTTCAACCGTGTGGAGCCAATACAAATCGGAGATGTGGTTCTAATTTGCGACGAGACCGATAGCCGTGGTGTATGGAAAAAAGGAAGAATCATTGAAATTCAACCCGCAAAGGACGGACAAGTGCGATCAGCAACGGTAAAAACTGCAACTGGAGTACTTCGAAGACCAGCGTCCAAATTGGCCGTTCTCGACGTCATTGGTGAATCTCAGAAGGCACCTTGATTCACGGGGGCCGGAATGTTAAGGAATTTTCTTTATTATTATAATTTTTCTTCTAAGTTAAGTCAAGATGAATTCAATACTTGTTCCCTTTATCATTTAATGTTTAATTTGAAACGATTACTTTGCTATCGATCACATGTAATTATAAGCTAACGATAAGCACAAAAGGGTGGCCACTTTTCTACTTTTAGCCGAGACGATTGGTACGTAGCCTCCGCATAAAAATTATTTTGTGTTCTAATTTAAGCCTCAAAAAAACAGATAATAAAACGCACGCCGCACGTACGCACTGCAATTGTCAAGCAGAAAATAATTTGCGTTCTTATTATGTCCTGATCGGCTACAGAAGTCAACAGGTGTAAAATTTAGTTGCATACTTGGAGAAATCGATTGAATAGTTTTTCGTGTTAATAATACATTTTTTTTTTCAAACATTTTTGTATATACTTACACATTGTTCAAGGTGTCCAGAAAAGGGCATCCAATCTGTACGGCTACTGCCGAGTACCGAGTGTATAGCTTTTGACTGAGCTGAAAATATTTTGCACCATATTGCTGAATATTAAAGAAAAGTGTTTCCCTTCCTCCCAGCACCGCTTTGTCCTCTCCGCCTTCGGCGATCAGTTGGATGCCAGCTTCCACCGAGTCAATAAGAAATCGAAGAGGGCCATCTGGCTCCCGCCGCATCAGAGCGTAAAGCTGCCGAAAGATTTCCGTCCCATTTTCAAGCATCTCTAAAGAGCTGCTCTCCTTCTCCACATAAAGGCGGTATCCGTCGCGAATCATGGCTGCCTGCAGGTGCTGAAGCGTGTTGATCGGTGGCTCGCGGGCGGGCCGTGCGAACTGACTGGTCAGTTGCGCTGAATATACATCGGCCAAAACATAAGTCGCTGCTATCCAGTACACAATGGTCAGAAACTTGGCACGGTAGCCGTGATATAGTTCTTGGCAGGCTGTCGAGATAATAAAGGGTTAAACCAAACTATACCCAGAATATATATATATATGTTGTTTAGGTATTACATGTTTTTATATTCTAGCATTAGTTATTATACATATTTGTAGTCTAAAATGTTCTAAAATAAGCTTACAAATAATTTTTTTGTGAAAGCGTAAGTGTTCAAGGGCGTATAAAAAATAAATCAGTTCCAGTCCAGGCTTCATCGAGTAAAGTCGTGTAACTAGCGCTAAGACCAAACTTAGTAAACAACAAGTAAACAAAACAGAAACACAACCACATCTTTCTGCAAACAAAAAAGGCAGCATGCTAAAAATGTTTGAGAGCCGCACACTTAGATAAACGAAGCCAATAGTAATCTAACTAACAGTCATATGACTGGTACTGAGAAATGCGGCCCTGAGAATTAATGCTGGGTTGGAAGGTCGTTGCGTTGTAGGCGGGTTCTGCGGGAAACCCGAGTAAAGCCTCTTGCGAAATGATTTGGGTGCACGGATAGTTTTTTATTGTAGGTCGTCTTTTCTTTATCTATTTCATATTTTACGGCAAGAATGCCGAAGTCTCTGTGGTTGCGAATATACCATGGTGCCCCAGTGAGAGTCCTCAGGATTTTCGATTGTGAGCGCTGTATGATGACAATGTTTCTGCTCTCGTTCCCCCATAGCTTTGAGCTATATGTCCAGATAGGCTTGACATTAGAGTTGTAGAGCAGGACCTTGTAGTCCAGACGCAGGGGCGATCGAATGTTTAATATTCAGTAGAAGCTGATGGCTTCTAGTTTAAGATGCAGTTTTTTGCATTCGATGTGTCTTCTCCAGGTTAGTCGTCTGTCGAGGTGGACGCCAAGATACGTTACTTCGTTGACTTCGGGAATCGGCGTACTATTTCATGATAGTGGAGGGCATGTTTGCCTTAAGAAATATACACTGTATATAGAGTAGTCGTCAGATGTTGTTATGTTGCACATTACTGCGAAGACCCTGTTGTAGAGATACGACTCAAGTAGTTTATGAGTGTTTGTAGGCAAGTGGGTTTTGATATTAAGCATGAGGCCATCGAGCCAGACTCGATCAAAAGCTTGATATACGTTAAGGAATATTGCGCTGTAATATTCACGATGCTCGAAGGCTGGGCGTATTTCTGATGTTATTCTGTTAGCTTGTTCGATTGTTCCATGGTGCCAGGATAACATGTGCCGGGATAACATTGTGTACTTCCAGATATGGTACTATGCGTGTAAGAAGGCATTTTTCGAACAATAATAAACTTATTGGTAGGTGACGGAATTGTGTGGACTTTTCCGGCTTTCGGTAGGTAGTAGATTTTTTCCATTTGCACGGATAGTAGCCGAGACGTATGATCCCATTGAAGAGTTTACAAATAGCCTCAATAGCAGAGTTTGGAAGTTCAATTATCACTTTTAATATTATTAGGTCACCGCCAGGAGCCTTTTTCTCCTTTGGAAGAAACGATGTTGGTAAGGATATAGTTTCAGATTCAATTTGTGGGAAGAGAAATAGACCAGTGGCAGGGTTCGACTGGCAAACGCTTCGGAGATGTGAAGCATTGGCGTTCCACATGGGTATTCTTATGTTCTGGTTTTGAACCAGTGATTGCATGGTGACGTTTCCTAGATTAGATTGGAGTGTGTTTGTCGCTCCTGTTCGAATCCCTTCTGGGTACTTCGCTGACAAAATGAGGATCTTGCAGCCATCCCGAAGAATACTTCCGGCGTCATTTTTGAGTAAGTGTACACGTTTTGAGTGTTTTGATGGCGCGTTATTGTCGCGGTTTTCAACTCCTTGTAGACCTCATAGCCACTGTTGTTTGCCGTGTGATTTCCTCCGCAGCTTCCACATTTATTTTTTAGGCGGAATCGTAAAAGTCTCCACAAACTTCTCAGACTAATCGAAGTGCAGTATGTCCTGGTGTGTCCATACTCCTGACAGTTTGTACATTGCTCTTCCACCTTAATTCTTCGGTGAAATAGGTATTCCAGGTTATAAGTGGGGTGCACTTCATTTTTCTTCAAGACTCTACCTTAAAGAGCGGTTGCGGCTTTTTTTTCCTGTTAATGATTTTGACATATTCATCTTTAAAATATCAGAAATATACCTGAAAAGTTTGAAGAATCTATGTTGTTTCTGTGTCCAAAAAAATTCCTGAAGATTGCCTATTTTTTGACACAACTAACCAAATGGACCTAACCACGACGACCTTATGATACTTTCCTAGCATAAGAAAATTTAAATTGTTCAACCATCAAATCATCAACTTGGATTTTGTTATGGATATAAGCCGTAATATCCATTGATGAGAGGTCTGGGGCGAGCCGAGGAACAAATAAATGTTTTAGCTTTACCGTTTTTGGTACGACACAAGCGACCTTTTTTGTTACTTCAGAATTTGTATCTGCACTACCTGTATCAGTACCAGTATTAAGTCAACATGAGGTGTTAGGGCCACTACTTTATTTTGATCGGACAGAGCGAAAATTTCTGGCAGCGATTCGGGTACCGAATCACATTTTGCCCGATCTTAGTACCATTTGAGTGGCGCCTAAGGTTGGCAGCTGAGCTGGAAGCGAATCGTGGGCAGCAGGTTGCACGGCACTTTCCATAGAATGCCCACCGACCGCGCCATTTTGCGCTTTGGGGAATCGGGCTCAGCTAGCATGCGACTATTTTTACGGTAGTTGCGGATTAATTCCGTAACACTACTTTTTGTGAGCCGCCTAATAGATATTGCCTGGTTCTCATATACGATGCACTCATCGCTGTAGTAGCGTAGGCCACTCCTCTTATCAATGGCATCGCGAACCAGGCCATAATAGCCAAGGCACTTTCCGTGATAAATTTTATCACATGTATGGCAGGGAATATGCTCCTGTCCAGCCGAGATAACGTTCTTGTAATTCTTCAGTGAACAGAAAACTATTCTCATTAGGACCACAGTGCAATTATAGCGGACTAAAAATAGAAAGCGCTCAAGAACTTTTTGATGAGAGAGAAAGGAGAGAACGCAAAGAGAGAGAGCGGCAGCGTAACACCGATTAACTCCGATATTAGACACCTCTGAGAGCATGATACACTAACATAAGGTAGTCTCGTCGGCAAATTTTGGTACCCTACTATTAAAACAATGAGTGCGAGTGAGATGGGAACTGTTTAGTAAGTGCGAGCAGAGCGACAATAGAATGTGTGGATTAACCTTTAGATGAACCCCCTGGTTTTTTTTTGCCTTTCATAATAAAAGGATTTTAATTTTTATTATAATTTAATTTTTAATAATTTTGAATTTGACATTAGGCGTTGTTTTTGTCTCTGAATACTGAGACTTTTGTTAAGATTCTTAATTCTAAAATATATTCTAATCTTAAAATAACAAAGAATGTATACGAACCTTTAATAATCGCAGCCGAAAATGTTAGTATAAGTTTAGACATAAAAACTTATACTAATATTTTCGGCTGCGATTATTAAAGTTTCGTTTACATTCTTTGTTATTTTAAAAGTTTCACAGCGATTCCTCCCACAGCGCTCTTTTTTCCAAACATATCGGTGCCTTTACGCCATCGACGTGTTTGCGGCACACATTGCAAAATGTCATGTTGCTCAAGGGTTAATTTCCTAAAAAATTCGTCCGCAGACAACCTTTCCCTTCGAAAGACGAACACGCACTGACCAAAACCCGAACGTTTAGACAGCCGACGAGACTACCTTATGTTATTGTATCATGTCTGAGAGTGCGTGCCGTTCCAACAGCGCCCAACGCCGAAGAGAAAATCTTAAGAGGGAGGCAATAGAAAACAAAAACAACAAACCAGCATCGAAGTAATGTTTAAAACGTTTCTAAACACAAGTTAATCACTATGCACTCGCGAAGCGGACGGAAAGTTGTTAAGACTCTTGAAGGTCTAGAAACGTTAAAAAGATTAAAAGTTAACAACGGTGGTTTCAACAAGAAAATGAAAATTAGGAAAAAACAACAAAAACAACAGCGTTCACTGTGAAGAGCGAAAGAAATACTTTGCACTTATTATCTCTTTCCAAGATATAAACAAATAATGTCAATCGTCTTTGACTTTCAAAGTGAACGGTCGTGTTTTTTTTCTGCGCTTCGAATTTGGCATTTTGTTTTCGTTTATTCCCATCGGTGGGTTTTTTCAAAACAATTCTAATTCGCTTCCGGTTTATTTAAACATAAATTTAAACTCCGTTCGCTTCGCGAGTGCACTTTGTATTTAATACTAATTAATTGTTTTAGATTTTCGTAATTCTTATCTGTGTTTTCTTTTCTTATATCCCCGCCGTTTCTCTTTTGTGCATGCACCTTAACTTATTTACGCTCCCGCTCTCTTGCTCTCTTTGCTTTTGAAAGTTCTAAGCGTGCAGTTTCTGCGCTCTTGCGGTACTTATAACTGCTCGCTTAAAAATTTCAGTTTCGCTTTCTTGGTACAGTGGTAAATAAATAAAATGAATAATAAAAATTTAGTCTGCTTCTGCAAAAAATGCAGCCTCGTAATCAGGGCTGATCAGTCTAATATGACTTGCTGGCTGTGTGAAAATATGGTGCACACCAAGTGCGCCGGTTTTACTGGCCGGACAAGTGATGACCTTTCAAAGGGGCCCAATTTGCAGTTTTGTTGTGACGCTTGTGTCGAGGTTGCGAACGAGATGAAATCGTTCATGCGCCAAACTAAAGGCGGCCTGATGGGACTGATTAGCTGTTTCGGAGTGGCTAGAGATAGTTTTCGCCGAGCTGATGATCTCCTATCTGCGCTGGACTCGCAGTTTAATAGTCGTAAGCTATTAGAAGAGTCCCCTAAGCGCAAAAAGGCCGCTGGTGGTAAGGAGCAAAAGGGGAACACCCCGCAACCGAAATCAAAAGAACAACAGAGCATTCCGGCGGATCAGCAGCTGATTTCAGCAAACCCTCAAATGTTGCTAAGATCAGCAGCTAAAAAAGATTCGGTATCCGAACAATCCGTTACAG